GCTAAAAATAAAAGGAAAATACTGTAATATCAAAATATAAAGGGAGAAACACCTTTAGTGTGTCAGAATATCATTTGGTTACCATGTGTCCATTTGGGTCTTCAAATATCCTTTTAGAGCTCCGCCTGGATCTTTTCATGGAAGAAACACTGTAGAATGGTCATACTTTGTCCAATCTTCTTCACATGTGAGGCAGTTGTTCACTGATAGTGTAGTTACAGCCCTATACTGTCCTTTACCTGTACAGATACAGCCACAGACAGTTATTTATACTGAGATACTTTATTTTATGCGGACAAAAATCTTCAATTTTTACTGACTCCAAAGGCCCACTGCTCTGTTTCTGTATGACCTACAGGTTTTCTGACACTTTTGATGTATATAGTGGTTCCGAATCTACAGCCATTCTAATTTGGGTATGTAATTTTAGGCGGGTTTGCTCCAAAATAGGGGTGGAGTTGAACAGGTAACAATATAGTTATTGAATACAAATCAAACCAAGAGTGAGATCAATTAGTCAAACTAATAGTGTTAATATTTGAATGGTCCCCGGGACACTTTGTACTTGAAAAGTTGGGCCCCGAGGTCAAAAAGGTTAAGAACCCCTGCTATAGACCCTCTGTCCTGGGGATTATCAACATGGATATTAAATTCGCCAACAATAACAACAGAGGTCAAAATCAATACAGATTATAGACAGCACTTCAGTAAACTCATCAAAGAAGGTTGCACAGTATTTAGGCGGTCTGTAAATATTTATGAATAAAGCTTGAGTGGAATTCAGAGCCACATATTCAAAAGAAGTAAAATGACCAAAGGACATCTGCTTGCATTGAAGAGAATCATTAAATAAAATAGCAACTCCACCTCCTTTCTTATGCGCTCTTGTTTCACTCATGAAACTGAAGTTGTGAGGTGTTGATTCAATGAGAACAGATGCACTGTTATCTTGATTTAACCAAGTTTCAGTTAAAAACAAAATGTCCAGTTTGTGCCTAACAATAAAATCATTGATTAAAAATGTTTTTCATGACAGAGACCTGACATTTAATAAAGCTAAGTTTAATGTGGTTAAAGCTTTCTTTGCCCAGTTTATTTGGACAGGCTGACGAGGAATGTATGTTAAGTTTGATAAGTTTGCAGGTTTACTATTGTTTCTTCGCAGCCTCCCCTTTCTTTTTCTATAAACTAGCAGGACAGGAATTGAGAAAGCTAGTTGCATACAGGGCCCTGACTTTTCCTGGAGAGAGTCATTGGTGTCATTAGCCTTGTAGCCTGGACCCAGAGGATATCAATTATTGCCTTTATCAGGTAGGGGAGACAGAGGATGGTTGTGGAGCCGTAGTGGAGGTGGGGGATGGGCAGGGCACTTTAACTTCGCCGATTGTTTCAAAACTGGCTGAGGCCTTGGAGCCAGTTTCAGGGGTGGGGCTGGAGCTGTACGTCGAGGAGTGGGGCGAGGAGTGTGTTTGGTTCCAGCAATGACCAGCTCTTTCATGTGGTCAGTGAACTCCAGGTGGGGGGAGGATGGGGAGAGTGTGAGAGAGGAAAGGGACCTGGATGGAGTTTGGGGGGTGGAAGTAGGTGCTGGGGAGGGAGGTAAAGAGTCCTCGTCTCGGAAGGGTGGGGAAAGTGGGAGATCAGAGGCGGTCCCTGATGATGAGGTTGGAGACTCCTCCTTTTGGCTGTCGCTAGGCGGGGGCATCCTTCCCGTAAGGTCTCCATGGCGATGCTGTGTGGTTATCTCTTGTTTAGACGCCTCTTGTGTCTTGTCCTTGGCAGTAGGAACAGACGGATGACGCAGGGAGAAAAATAGATTAGAGGTAAACAGTTTTACCCCTGACTTGTTCAGGCAAACTCCGTGTGCCTTAAAAAGATGTCTGCGCTCCCAGAAAAGGTAGAAATTGTTGATAAAATGTACTGAATGGTCAGTACATGCAGTTGACAGCCATTTGTTCAGTGCAAACAGCCTGCTGAATCCTTCATCTCCTCCTCTGACTGGTGGAAGAGGGCCACTGATAAACACCTCAGCCTTGACAGAGCTGACTAATAAAGTCTCGCTTCAGAACTTCAGACTGTTGTTTCACAATATCACAGCTTCCTGTATGCAGGATGATGTTTTTCACCATGGGATGGTCAGCCACGATGTCCAGGATTTTGTCTCTCATGTTAGAGACCATATCTTTCGGAAAGCAGAGTATTTTGGTATTCTTGCTGCACAGTGTTCTGACATCTTTTACAGCATAGTCACCAACAATCAGAGTCTCAGGCCCAGTCATTAGCTTTCCCTGCTGCCTTCTACTCTCACATTTACTCTCAGTTCTTACCCTGCTTTGAGGAGATAGCTGCTTATCCAGGTCATCAGATGGAGATTTAGGATCCTGCGACAATGGAGCAAATCTGTTTTGAAGTTGTAGACTTGGTTGTTGTGGAGGGTTTTTGCAGGTTTTACTTTTCTCAGCTGTCCTTGGCTTTGTCCGTCTGAGTGCAGGGGTTGAGGAGCAGTTCTGCCTGTGTGGTAGTGCAGGCCAGGCCAGCATCACAAATCTCAGGGCGCTGGGCTCTGCCTGTTAGTCGTCCTTCCACATATTTTCTCTTCGGCTTTGCACCGAGAGAGTTCCAGGGAGGACTACCATTTGAAGATTCATTATCTGCTCCCTCCTCCTGTTTCTTGGTAGGCCTGGTTGTGCTAGTTAGCTGTGTCTTAGCTTGCGTTTGTCCAGTGTTTTGAGTCCATGGTAAAGTGGTATCATTCCCACACAGTCCATTTACCTCCACGTTTACTTCTAGTCGGTGGATTTTTGTTTCCAAGACTGCAATCTTCTGCAGGAGTTTGTAGTAGTCATCCATGGAGAAGGGAGGCATCTTGCTGCTACTTAGCTTTAGCTTAGCTGCTAATTAGCATTAGCTAACAACCCAAATAGCTCGACGACTTTCTGGATTTGTCTTCACTCAAACGTTGAAGAGTGATATATGTGATATATCTGGCAAATTGAAGAAAGAAAATGCAAGCAGAGGCAAGAGCAAGCAGCAAAGTGACTGCACTCTCTCATCAAGGTCAGGTGAGGGCAACTGGTCGGTAGTCATTGAGGCTAGATGGTGTCGTCTTTTTTGGTACAGGAACCAGGCACGACGTCTTCCACAGCACTGGGACTTCCTCCTGCTTCAGGCTCAGGTTAAAGAGATGTTGCAGGACATCAGACAGCTGGACGGCACAGGTCTTCAGGACCCTGGGGCTGATGCCATCAGGTCCTCCAGCTTTGCCTTGGTGGAGTCTCTCCAGCTGTCTCCTAACCTGGCCAGTTGTCACAGAGAGGGGGGGAGGGTGGAAGAGCCCTTTGATGTTGAGGGCTCTGTATCCATGCAGCTCACCAGGGGGGACAGAGGTGACAGAGGGGGAGGTGTTTGGGAGGTGTGGTGTGTGGAGGAGACAGATGAGGGCTGTGAGCTAAACCTATTAAAGAAAGAGTTTAGCTCATTGGCCCTCTCCAGGGAGCCCCCTGGTTGTCTCCCTCCAACCTTGAAGCCTGTAATCTGCTTAATCCCGGTCCACACCTCCCTCACATTGTTCTGCTGGAGTTTGGCCTCCAGCTTCCTCCTGTAGGAGTCCTTGCACTCTCTGATCTTTATCTTCAGGTCGCGCTGGACCCTGTCTCCAGACCTGAAAGCTGCTTTCTTCTTATTAAGAAGAGCTTTCAGGTCACTGGTGATCCATGGCTTGTTATTGGGGAAGCAGCGTACAGTCCGGGATGGTATGACGGTCTGTTCACAGAATTTGATGTATTCTGTGATACAGTCCGTCATGCTGTTGATGTCCTCCCCATGTGGTCCACAAAGCACATCCCAATCCGTTGACTCAAAGCAGTCCTGCAGGGCGTCATTAGCCTCCTGAGACCACCTCCTCACAGTCCTGGTGGTCACAGGCAGCCTCTGCACCAGAGGAACATACTTAGGTGTTAACAGGATCAGGTTGTGATCAGACCTGCCAAAGGGGGGAAGGGCAGTGGCACTGTATGCATCATTTGCATTTGCATACAGAAGGTCAAGAGTGTTATTGTTCCTTGTGGGGCAGTCAAAATACTGGTGAAAAGTTGGCAGGGCTTTATCCAGAGTGGTGTGATTAAAGTCTCCAGTAATTGCCAGAAAAGCACCAGCATGTTGACTCAGCAGTCCAGACACAGTGGACTGGATGGTGTCCACTGCTACCTCAGCGTCAGCTGATGGGGGGACGTACACAGCCACAACAATGGCGGACGTGAACTCCCTCGGCAAATAATATGGACGCATCCCCACGGCTAACAGTTCAATGTCCGGGCTACAGAAGCGTTCCTTCACACACACATGGTCGGGATTGCACCACCTCTCGTTCACATACACAGCAATCCCGCTACCTCTCTTCTTACCGCTCAGTACAACGTCTCTGTCCGCCCGAACAGTCCTGAAGCCGGGCACTGACACACTGTGGTCCGGGAAATCCGCATGCAGCCACGTCTCCGTGAAACACATGACGCTACACTCACGGAAGTCCCTCTCAGTCTTTACCAGCGCGCCAAGCTCGTCTGTCTTATTCGCCAAAGACCTCACATTCCCCGTTATAATTGCCGGTACCGAGGGTTTGTACTTCCTCACCTTCACCCTCTGCTTAGCGCCCGACCTGCAGCCCCGAGCCCTTCTCCTTAGCTCCGCCGGGATCTCAGGCCTGGAGCCGGGCAAAAGCCGCGGTTTGCTCAGCGCAATCAGCTGATCGCGGGAATAGACAATGGCCCCACTCATTGTGTGTGGCTCTCCGTACAAACAGGAAGAAAAGTAACAGAAAAGCCACGGGAAAAGTTGAGAAAAAGTTACGGTCCGTTGTCTGACCATAATTTAAGCCAAACGTTAAGGAAAAAGAACAAAAGCAGAGAAGAAAAGTGAAAAAAAAGACTAAAAATTAAAACACACACAGGGAGCTGCTGCGACAGGCAGCCGCTGGCACGGCGCCATCTTCCCATCTTAATCTGGGAACCCACCGGATATCATCTGATGTTGACTCAACTTTGTCTGGCTTCATTCACGTCATCTCTCAACACCAACTCCAGTCTCACATCTCAAGTGGCTAATCAGACTGTAAACAACAAGCAGCACAAGGAAAAGGAAGTCTTGGCCTTGATAAGTGCTGGCTACACCGGAACCCCAGAAATACAGCCCCTTGGCCCCAGAGGCTCGACCATCGTCAGACCGGTAGACGGTGGATCAGAGATTGACAACAACCATACTGTACCTTTTCTGAGCTGTGTTGTATTTCCCCAGGTGAATGTACTGTAATGGGCATTCCCAGCGTGACCACCAACCTGTCTGGTTTCGGCTGCTTCATGGAGGAGCACGTGTCAGACCCTGCTGCCTATGGTGTGGACACACTCACACACATCTAGTCTTATAAACAGCCTGCCTCATGTCAAAACTCCAATAACCCTTTCATTTTAAAGACTTACATGACTGTCCATCTGTGTCCTACACTCCCTCTGTTCTCCCTCACTGTATCTATCAGGTGTATACATCGTGGATAGACGGTCCTGTTCACCGGAAGAGTCCTGTAACCAGCTGACCCAGTTCATGTTCAGTTTCTGCCAGCAGTCTCTGCGCCAGCGCGTCATCCAGCGGAACCGGACTGAGAGGCTGTCTGACCTGCTGGACTGGAGATACCTGGGACGGGTCTGTTTCTGCTGCACCACCACCAAATAGATGTTTGAGAAGAGAGAATATACAACATCTAGCAGGCAGAATACTAATTCATGTCTGCATACACAACTCACAAGATAATAATCAACACAACTCTTTGAATGCATTAAACCAGTAAGAAAGAGATTTCCATTTAAAGCTTAAACGTCTTCTTTAAGGTAGTCCCTCCTGTCCAACCCTTCTCCTCTTTCATGATACAGTTTATAAGTTGTTTAGTTAGTTGATGTACATCTCTGCTGACTTGTGATTTGCAGTTCTACATACACGCCCGCCATCTGGCACTGAACAGAGCTTTTCCAGACAAGTTCAAGATGGACCCCATGTACCCGCTGAAGGTAAGCAATGCTGTACAAGAGAATGAGGCAGTTTGTGAAGAAGTGTCTGGCACGTAGGGTTCTTAGTATCAAAAGACCAGTCCGAAGTGACTGTTGAAATTCCAATCTAATGTCGACAAAGAGATGCAAAATGACCCCAAAGACCTGGCTGCTTTTGGCTGTCCTCTGGGTGGGGGTCTTTTACATATCTATGTCCACTGCTATAAATATGATTCATGTTAGAACATTTGAACTGGTTTATTTGACATTCATTCATTCATTCCAATAATGTACAGTTTATTATTGCTGAGGGCTATACATTTAAGTCTCAACACACTTTACTCATTTCCCAAATGTGTGAGAACCTGTAACATGTCATGTACACGACAATCCCTCTCATGTTGTGACTGACACGCACACTGGATACTTTTGGATTGTAACCACATGTGTCAGACTTTAGTTGGTAGCTTAAAAATTAGACTACATTTTATTTTGACATTAACAGGTATTATTACTAGAGTTATAATATCTAGCTGAAAATAAAAGGGAAAAGATAGGAAGATGGGAAGTAGATGGGAAAGGGAGGGCATTGCCCAATGCAGAAGGGGAGGAAAGGGAGGAGGGAGGAGGGGAGAAACAAAGAGAGAAAAAGAAAGAACTTGGATGGAGTGGATGAAGGAAATAAGGAATTCAACACAAGGCAAGAACGAGGGGGTAAGGGATAGAATCAAAGGCAAGAAAGAAAAACAAAAAGAAGGTTAGAAAAAAGAGAAAATGGAAGAAGGGAGGAAAGAGAATAGAAGGAATGAATGAGCGTGAAGTTGAGGCAGAAGGCAAAATGAGAAGGAAAGTCAAAGATCTCTGATGTTGCAACTTCTCATGGAAGCCTTCAGTACCTCTGAAGCAGCTGAGTGTGGAGGATCATCTGTTTCTCTGCAGACATGAACAGAAAGCTGCTTGGAAGTCAGAAAATCTTTTATAAAAAGTCACGCAGACTCATTTCCGATAACACCTTTGTCTCCACAGACAGAGGGCTTCCGTTACCCACGGCCCTACTCGGTGCCCCCCTCTCCCTCTGCCTCCGTCCACTCCACCCCCCACCACAGCGATGATGATGATGAGCCCTACGATGAAGATGAGGAGGCTGAGAGGGACCGACTGAACATTAAAGCTCCCTTTGTGCTGGGTGCTGTGCCATAGGGCAAGAAGAAGCAACCTGCAGAGTTAGGAAGCTGAGAAGCTGCTGACAAAACAGGTTTACAGTCAGTCACAGTGTTCCTCACGGATGTGTAAAGAATAAAGTAACAAGATGAAAGGCTCTCGAAAGTTTGTGGATTTGAGACAAAATAATAAAAGGGCTGAAAGCGTTATGCAAATTCTGGACATATCCTTCCAACGCATACTGTAGAGCCTTGTCTGCTTCTCCCTGAAATGGCTTTTTCCTTTTTCTAAAATGTATAATATTCATTGTTTGTTCAGTGTGGGCTCCATGGTAACTTAGCTCTGACAGCTTGATGGAGTAGCAGTAGGGGGCGGGGCTTAGCCAGGGATCATTTGCTATGCAGATGCCATACAGTTATATGTTCTAATGCAAAACAATAATTCTAATAGCCTAACAAATCTTCTTATCTACAACTATTTTACACGTGTCCACCCCTCTGTGCCGGTGTAAATTGTTTAGTTCCATCTTGGTCAAATAGTCATTTTTTTTATTATGTATTTGATTCCCTGTTAAACAATATAATAATAATAATTGATTAATTTGCATACTTGATAAACCATTATAAAAACTCAGACATTCTCAAACCAGTAGTGCTAAGAATTTCAACTCTTTTTATTAAAACATCACATTTCAAACAGAGTCAGATAATTCATATTTACAGAACAGCTGTTCTTCTCCTCACACACAACCCAAAACCTCAGATCACAGGAACCAGAGACAGCTCTAGAGATGTATGAAAGGGGATCAGAAGTATTCTCTCTTCCACACCGGCAGCTCCTGGAAATACACCTCATCTGGCTTTTCATCGGCTAGATGAGAGAAAGACAACGTGAACATTCAATTATGGAATTTCATTTATAACATAAAATACAAGTTTTGAGTCAAAGACAGAACAAAAGACACAGAATCTTTCAACTGTTTTCCTGACAGTCCGTAATAGACCCCTTTGATTTTAAATTAGACCTCCATAACACTTTATAATATAACATACAGTTGTGTGAAAAAGTGTTTGCCCCCCTCCTGATTTCTTATTTTTTTGCATGTTTGTCACACTTAAGTGTTTCAGATCATCAAACAAATTTAAATATTAGACAAAGATAACACAAGTAAACACAAAATGCA